GTGTGTGTGTGTGTTCATGTGTGTTCATGTGTGTGTGTGTGTGTGTCTGTGTGTGTGTGTGTGTCTGTGTGTGTGTGTGTAGTCAGCAGGTGTACTGTTACGCAATGGACGTGTAGGAGCAACGGAGGGGAAACACGGAGGAGTTTGAGCCGAGCCGCGGGGCGTTGCAGGAGATCACAGAGCCGTCTCTTTCAGGTCGTTGAGGTTTGGCATACGAGACCTGGAGGGGCGTCCGAAGCCGTGCCCGTTCTGGCCCCCCTTGATGCCCATCTGCTCCGGGTAGGGGTTTCCCTCGGGGCGGCCCAGGGCCGACGAGTGCCAGCCGGACTCCAGCTGCCCGGGCAGCGGGTAGGCCGCCTGTCGGCTCTTCAGCTGGGGCGTGCTGACCCCCGAGTGACCCCGGCCCTCTGGGAAGCCGCCCTGAGCGGAGGCCGGGTTAGGCAGCGGCTGGTAGCGCATGTCGGACTGCGACGTCTGGTTGGAGGACGAGGACGAAAGGTGCAAGAGTTTGCGCAGAGACTTCAGTGGCTGACTCTGAAAGGGGGAGGGATGACCAAAACATGTTGAACATCAAAAACAACATGCATGAAGACAATACTTTCATTTCTCTCTTTGGGACTTACAGGTGTGTGTGAATCGGACAGTTTCTCAGGAGGCCAGTCCTTGTCCCGGTCTTGGTCCCGGTCTCTGCTCTTGTCCCGGGTCCTGTGGCGGCTGCTCTGGTGACCGGAGGACCTGGAGGACTTCTGGATGATCGTGTCCACAGCCTCACTGGGAACCTTCCACAAAGGCATTGAGTTTAATCTCATTAAATACGAGCATGGGGGTCCAAACAATGAAAAGGACAACAAGAGACACGCAGAATGTTTTATACAGATTTCTATGGAAACCTCAAAAATGTACGGCGACATATTATGTTAAAAATCTATGATTATGAAGCGGGGGAAGGGGAGAATATATAAAGAAATAACCAAGATTAAAGCCATAAATTTTCTAAAAAAGCTACGCAATTCTCTTCGATTATGGGCACAAATATGCGACAACAACTACAAAATTTACCATAAATTTCGTATTTTTCGTATTTTGTTTTTCTTACTTTGCAATCGGATTCAGCAATAAGGAAAGGAAACTCTATAGGTTAAAAATCAAAAAACGACGGAACCGGAGGAGGGGAATAATATTATGAGAAAAACAATCTCAAATTTGCAAGAATTTGTTTTGTGTGTTTTTTGTTGTTTTTTACAAGGAACCACATCACTTCACTTTGCAGTGTTGGAATAACCTCCTCATACCACAGGACGCTTGTCGTGTATTATTCCTGCAGTGGATGACCAAATCAAATGATACTTTGCAATCAGATTAATCAATAAGAACATACTCGTGATTTTAGCCCAGAATCATCATATTATCATCAACATCCACAATTTAAAGAGACATAGCGGTGAGCTCGGTCTATCCAGAAGAAAACAACAAACTGATCACAGGATTTTGGCTCATGAATTTGTGAGTGTGGGGCTTCTCGTTAATTTATCACTTTAATCTCAAGGTATACCGTAGTTTTTTTCTCGTAAATCACGATTTTTATCTCAGAAATTCAGATTGTTTTCTCAGAATTGGACCTGCTCTTCCTACATTGTTTTTAACCTACAATGGCACAAATACAGCATCGTAAAAATGTGCTTCAGAAGATATCATTTGTGTGTGTGTGTCTTGTTATCCTTTACATGTGTTGATTTATGAGCCTGGTTTGGTGCAGTGAAGTCATTCAAATAAAAATGAAAAAAACAAAAACAATAACATGCATCTGGTGCCAGAAAGCCAAAAGCACCGAAAGCTCTTCTTGATTACGATTGGATGGTTGCAGACATTTTCTACATCACATCACATCCTCTGTATGTGCATCTACTCTGTACCCACCCACTCTGAGTCTGACTGCCTGCTTCCTCCTGGTCCAGATTGCATTTTATTTGTGCTCCGTCATCAGCGTTAACCCCCCTCTCAGCATCCCAACAGACTGCCTCGTATATAAATAGACAATGAGGTGAAGAAGGAGCCTCGAACACCTGTTTCATGCTGAAGCCGGTTCAACTGTATGATCTTTGCTGTATCATCAATAGAAATCAGAGGTTAAGATGCACTTTGAGGGGGAGGAGACGTCGATCAAACGCTCCTGTTGTTTGTTAAGAGAAGTAGAAGCTGAGAGCAACCAGGCACACAGACTCCTAACATCTCATGAGCCACAGCGCTTCATCCTCAGCTCATAACAAGCCGTCTGAAATCTCAATTAAACCCCAAAAACACACAACCAGCCAGATCCATTCATGTCACGGTGAATCATCATTAAAACTGATCAAATATCAAGAACGTGAACATTTAAAACCAGCACTTTATTGACGGATATTACCTGCACAGATGGATCTGACTGGTTCGTGTTTACAACTCATTATGAGTGGATGAATTTCTCCCCTGATTCTTATAAAACAAGCGTAAAAATGAATCAATGGAGGAGATTATTTGTGGTTAATGCATGCGATGGCAGGCGGGGTGAGGAGGCGAGCATGTACCATGGGAGAGGAGACTACAGGGAGGACTCTCACAGAGGAGCTATGCTTTATGTTACTCTTTGGGCTAAACAGAGGGAAAAGACATTTCTTGATGACGGGAGGCCTTCCCTCAGGGACCTGCATCTGTAATACAGAGGCACATGACGGGTGGCACAAGAAAACATGATGCTCATGACAACAAGAAGAAGACATGATAATACTTCTCCTCCACAGTCAGTGGTTTACTGCAGCAGATGAGTTTATAGAAACAGACGGATTTTAGACAGCGAAAAGAATGAAAGGTTTCTTGTAAATAAGAAAAAACATAAAACTAATCAAGTAAAGAAATCTTGATAAGTCGACTAAATAAATTAGTCCGGGGGGGGCAGCCCTACAGGGAACTGGAGTTATATCGATCTATGATCTCTACAAACACACCAGACTCCATTCACTCAAACACTGATTCTACCTCTCAGGACACAGGAGCTGCTGC